CCTCACTCCACACACCTCACTCTATCTTCATCTCTCTCTCCCACACTCTCTCTCAATCTCTCCCTAATCTCTCTTTAATTAAAAAAAAAATTATATATCTACTTAATATAAGTTTTACCTAATCTCTCTTCCTCTCCCTAATCTCTCTTCATCTCCCTAATCTCTCTTTAATTAAAAAAATTATATATCTACTTATTTTTTAAATTCAAAATGTCGAGCTTTCTTGGTCGTGGCCGTGGTTTGAAGTCCGGGGCCTCCAGGCAAAAGTGGCAACGGCAAGGCGCATCGTCTTCGACACCTCCATTGCCCTCATTTGCGAGTCCAACGATACATGTCGATGTCCCGGGCGTGACCGACGATATAGATGCCGCCACAATCGATTGAATGTTCGATGTCGTTCAGCCTTCACCCTCAGTCCAACCGGCAACGGGTGTACACGAGGTGGACCAAGAGCAGCCGTACGAGGACCATCTCGACGATCTATTTAGAAGTACTCCTCCGGATGAGCAACCACAACAACCCACACAGTCGGTCCGATTTGTCGGGGGCGGTAAAGTCAAACTCAGGATTCCGTCATGTTCGACCGACATTACACGAAGGCTCCAAATGAAAAGAAAGGAGGTGATCCTTATTTTCTGGCTATTTGCAACTACTGCCCGGCCAATTCGAAGACGAAGTATCAGTTCAAAAAAGGCGACGGGTACGGGACGTTGACCCGACATTTGAAAGTTGTTCATCCGACCGTAATGGGAATCGACACGGCACAGACGCAATTCCCAAGTAGCAGCGGAGCATCCGCCTCAGCCACTCAAGGTGCAGGTACGTCTTTATTTCATTACTCTCATGAAAATCATAGACGTCATTTAGCTGAATTTGTTTCTGCTTCGTCTCTTCCTTATAGTTTTGGTGATAGTGATTTATATGAAATTTTGCTCAAATGGCTTTAAATCCGTCTGCCAACCGAGTTCTTCGTACCACCCTTACTCGCGATATTCGAAAAATCGTGAGTGAGAAGAAAATAATTTTAAAAGAAAATTTTAAATCTTTAAATCATAGAGTATCCATTTGTGCTGATATATGGTCCGATCATTGGATAAATAATTTTTATTTAGGGATTACTTGTCATTGGGTTGATGATAGTTGGACTTTACAAAAACGTTTAATCGCTTATGTTGCATTTCATGAACGACACACTGCTTCTAATATTGCTCGTTTAATTTCAAAAATCTTAGATAAATATACTATTGGTAAAAAAGTATTTTCAATTTCATTTGATAATGCGACTGCAAATACTGCATCTATACGTGAATTAAATGATGTTTGTACACCAATCTGTGGGGGTAGATTTTTTCATATTCGTTGTATATGTCATGTTTTAAATTTGTGTGTTCAAGCTGGTTATCATGCTTTTAAGGATTCTGTGACGCCAATAAGGGAGGCCGTCAATTATTTGCATAAACGTCCCCAGGAAATGAAAGCATGGGGACGATTTTGTAAGAGTGTTGGAATTAAACCTAAAAAATTCCAGCCAGACGTGCCTACCCGGTGGAATTCAACATTTAAAATGTTGAATGTCGCCGCTTATTATGTCGAGCATTTACAGGATTTTTTTTAATGATCCAAACCGTAGGGATTGTGATGTTCGACTTTCGGGGAATGATTGGGCAAACTGTTCACAACTTACAAATTTTTTAGAAACATTTCAAAACGCTACTAATATTCTTTCTGGTGTTTACTATCCTACTGCTCAACTTGTGGTCAGTCAATGTATAGCTATAATGTGGGGTTTCAAAGATATTTATGACTTAGAACCTTTTAAATATTCTGGTCTAGTAGAAGATATGTTACAAAAATGGCTAAAATATTCTTATTATATTCCCGATACATTTTTAATTGCATGTCTGTTAGATCCTACAGTTCGTGAGCAAGGTTTGTTAAATCAACTTAATATGTACTATGATTATATGTATCAATTGCCACTGCCGAGTGGGGTCCCGTCTTACAGGGACAAACCTAACATACAGCAGCTCTCGAGCAAGCAAAAAATTCGTTGTATGACATGTTCAGGGAAACAATGATCGCACATGGAGTCTCCCAGCACATTTGTTCGTAGTAGCGGCGCAAGCGGCAGCGCGTCTTCATCTTCATACGGAGGGCAAAGGCGGCAATACAAACTACGGAAACTTCAAAGTGTTTTGGGATTCATTAAATCCCTACAAAAATTCGGGCGGTCAAAGGGTGCAGGGGACTGGATACTATGAGCTGGATCACTACCTTACGTCGAATTTAGCCGTTACGATTGCACGTCCACCTCAACCGCCACTCAATTTCGATGTGTTAGATCGGTGGTAAAGAATGGAAGGAATTTTTCCTATTCCATGCATTATGGCCAAGGAGATCTTTGTTGTCCCAGCATCTACAGTCGCGGTTGAGCAAACATTCAGTGAGGGCGGCTATATGCTAGATCCACGACGGTCGAGGATGACGCCTGATAATCTTCAAGCACAAATGTTACTGAGTGATTGGAAGAAGGCCGAACGAAGGATGCAAACTGCTATGCTCACTTTGAATGAGGAGGATGACGACAACGACGATGCATCCGATTTTACGTCGTCGACAAGTGGAACCGGGGGGGACGTCGCAGACGAATACGAGTATTAGAGGTATGCAGCCAAGGTATGTGATTTAGAAGAACTACGTGGACTTTGATTCCCAAATAAAGGGATACGTAGGCACCTTATTTAACATTATTAAGTTCGAGTATAATTTTTTGGCATCAAAATTTTTCATCGTACACGATATTCGAACTTAATAACTGTTAACTAAGCTCAAGTCCATTCCATTAATAATTTTTTTTCTTTACACTTATTTTTTAAGTATATACAAACTATTTATTCAAATAAACATTAATATACATTAAAATAAAAAAAATTTAAAAACCCGTAAACCCGGCGGGCCCGGCCCGAACCCGTCTCAACCCGCCGGGTTTTTGACCCGGTGGGTTAGGGCCGATTCAGTGAACCGGCCCTTACTTACCAGCGGGCCGGGCCCGGTTCAATATATGCTAACCCGCCGACCCGGCCCGGAAAATGGCCATGTCTACCCTCATCTTTGTTAGAATATTTAGGATTTATTTTCTTTTTGTGTGCTATCAACACTAATTCTAAGTTCCGAACCGCCTTGCTCGAGAGATTGACCCGGGGATCGAATCTTTATATTTGGTACTCGGTAAAAATAATTTGCTACAACAATAAGAAAAAAGGCAAAGCAGCTGTGCAACCAAAAGTAGCTGATAAGCAAAAAGGCAAAATAGTTGTGCAACCAAAAGTAGCTGATAAGCAAAAAGGCAAAGCAGCTGTGCAACCAAAAGTAGCTGATAAGCAAAAAGGCAAAGCAGATGTGCAACCAACAGTAGCTGATAAGCAAAAAGGCAAAGCATATCATGTGCAACAAGGAGCTGATAAGCAAAAAGGCAAATCAGATGTGCAACAAGAAGATGATAAGCAAAAAGGCAAATCAGATGTGCAACAAGAAGATGATAAGCAAAAAGGCAAATCAGATGTGCAACCAACAGTAGCTTATGTTACTGTTAGTGAAGAAGATTTGGACCAGCTTATTGATAATTTTCATGAGGAAAGCACAGATGAGGAGTATATTCCAGAATAAGAAAGTTCTGAATCAGATGGATTGAGTGGAGATGAATTAGGAACTGATGATGATGAAGAATACTTTGAAGCAAGAAGAAGAAGAGCTGCCTCCAAAGTTGCAGATAAAGAAACTGAAAACTTTGCATTCTCTTCTGAAACTGGCTTCCAGTCTATGAGGGAAGATCATTTTGATTATGCAGACTCAGAAGAAGAGGTTTATTCTGATTCTTCAAGCTCAGGAGGGTTTAGTGGAGATGATGGTGTCAGTCATAAGAAGAACAAGAAAAAAATGATAATGTATGATGCCAAGGTTGACCATAAGCACTTCAAGTTTGAACTTGGTATGCGGTTTGAGTCAGTCACTCAAATTAGGAATGCTATTCAAGAGTATTCCATATATAATGGTCACAATATTCAGATATGAAGACAAACCCATAGTCAGATTGAGGCCAAGTGTATAGAATCATGTCCTTGGAAGTTGTATGCTAGCACTGTAAAGGCAGAAGGGAGATTAGCCATCAAAACATTGATTTCAGATCACAAGTGCTCTAGGGACATGAGAACCAAACAAGCATCTTCAAAATGGATTGCTAAGGAATACCTTCAGACATTCAGGAGAAAACCAAAAATAAAAATTAGAGACCTTGAAGAGATGATACTTCAGAAGTATGTTGTGCAACCATCTAAGTGGAAGCCTAACAGAGGCAAGTACAAAGCACTTCAAATATTGAGAGGCACAGAAGAGGAGCATTACTCATGTCTGAGGAGTTATGTTGTTGAGCTACTCAGAGTAGACAGAGAGGGTCGGTTTGAATTTCTACTTGATGAAGGTACTGTGTTCAAGGGATTTTTTGTGGGATTTAGTGCATTAAAAAAAGGGTTTTTAAGTGGGTGCAAACCAATAGTTGGGTTACATGGAGCTTTCTTGAAGACTGTGATTGGAGGGTGTTTGTTGACTGCTGTGGGGAAGGATGCAAACAACCAGATTTATCCCATTGCATGGACAGTGGTAGATTCTGAAAATGAGGCAAATTGGAAGTAGTTCTTGAATATTTTATTTGAAGAGTTTGGCATCAGAGATGGAATGGGTTGGACCTTTATTAGTGACCAACAAAAGGTAACTAAACTACTTAATATAATGTTTTAATTATATTTTCCCTTCCTTAAATAGTTTGTGGATTATGTTATATAACTTTTAACTTTTACCTTGTTCAAATGGATTGTAGGGACTGATTAATGCAGTAAAGGATTTGGGGCCATTGGCAGAGCATAGGAATTGTGCAAGACACATTTATATGAACTGGAAGAAAGAACACAAGGGTCAAACACTGAAAAACATGTTCTGGAGGACTGTCCATTGCACATACCTTGCAGCCTATAAAGAATCACTGGAGGAGATGAAAGCTGAGTGTCCAGAGGCATACAACAAGTTCATGGAGCAAGACAACTTCAAATTTTGTAAGGCCTTAATTTCAGTGCATCCTAAATCTGACATGGTGCTAAATAATGTATGTGAGACCTTCAATAGCACCATTGTTAGGGCTAGGAAAAAGCCTATTGTTGAAATGCTTGAAATGATAAGAACCTTTGTGATGGAAAGACAAGTTGAAAAACTGAACATGGGAAGTGGTCTCACTGACTCAATTTGCCCTAGGATCAGGAAAAAACTAGAGGAAACTAAGTACAAAAGTAGGTTGTGTGTCACCAAACCTGCTCTAGGAAACAAATATCAGGTCACTTGTTTTGAAGACCAATTTGTTGTTGATTTGGGAGGTATGGGTTGTACATGTAGGCAATGGGACATAAGTGGTATACCTTGTATCCATGCATGCTCAGCTATTCACTGGTTGAAAAAAGATGCCACAGATTTTGTATCCCCTGTATATAGTTGTGAAAGGCTCATTGCATCATACTCATTCCCCATGGAGCCCCTTAATGGGAAGAGGATGTGGCCAGAGGCTTCAGGGTATCCTATCAAACCCCCACCATTCAGAAGAATGCCAGGTAGGCCCAAGATCAGTAGAAAAAAAGCACCTGAAGAAGAGGCTAAGACAAGCACAAGGCTGAAGAGGTTTGGCTTGCAAATGACATGCCAAAGATGTTTCCAAGTTGGCCACAACAAGAAGACTTGCACCAATGACCCAACTCCAAAACCTGCTAAGGTAAAAATTGTTAGGAATTATATACTTATATTTTTATAGTTTCTGAATTTTGAACAAACATGTCAATTTCAGAGGCCTAGAGGTAGACCAAGGCTTATGACAGAAAATAGACAGACAGGTGGAAGTGAACCTATTGCTAAGGTATCAGTCTCATGGCATTTTTTTTTGTTTGACATTATATTTTTTAAGATTCCTTGAATTTTACAAACTTGTTAATGTCAGAGGCCTAGAGGTAGACCAAGGATCATGAGAGAAAACACTGAGGCAGGTGGAAGTGAACCTATTGCTAAGGTCACAGTTTTTTATGTTTGACATTACATTTTTTGTTTTAAATTTTTGGAATTCTGACAAAATATTGTATTTTCAGAGATCTAGAGGTACACCAACAGAGGAAACAGAGCAATCTGGAGTAACTGGAGTAACTTCTCATGCCTTTGTAGCTAGAAAAAAGAAAGCATTGGTACTTTGATACATACCATTCTCAATATTTGTCTTTAATTTTATTTTTCTATTGTTTGTGATATATTTTGATATATATATTTCAAATTAATAATGACAGGTGCTTAGACAAAATAGAGTTCAAAAGCAATCTCAAAACAAAGAATCTGCGGAAGCTGTTGGAACTCAAGAAAGTGTTGCAAAGAACTGACAAAAAATGTTTGTTGTGGACATGTGGTTGTGAACATGGGGTTTTTGTTTTGGTTTGTTTGTTTCAGGGGATTCAGTTTGTCTCAGTTTTTGTTTTTGTGGACATGGATGTGATGTGAACAAATTGATGCCAAGGACTATCTGTTTGTCAAAAATGGCATAGATATGTATTGTTGTGGATCTTAAGACATCATGTATGTATTTTGGGTTACTTTTGCAACATAATAGCAGCTTCATATTGATATTGTTAGTATGTTCTTATGTTTGTATGCTTTAATGTTCATTGACAACAAAACCACACCATATTCTTGCCTAGAAACATATACAGCTTTTTTCTTGGTGCAAACAAAGATAAAATACCAGCTTTGTCTATCTAAGCATACAAAAAAAAAACAACAAATCTAGCTAAAGATTACCATAATCTCATGAACATTGAAAACAAACACAATATATTTTTGTTCAAAGCTACAACCAACAACAAACACAACATCCTTGTTCAAAGCTACAACCAACAACAAACACAATATCCTTGTTCAAAGCTACATAAGCATTAACTTCTTCTCATTAGAAACACCAAAGAACCACATGGCTAACAAAAACATAGTGACTAAAATAAACAACTTTTTCTATGATTTTCTCCTCTGATCCATGGTTGCAGTATTATTCTCAAGATCAACATTTTTTCTTTTCAACAGATCCAACTCATTGTCTTTTACTTCTAATCTTTCAGACAAAAGTTTCTCCATAAACACTTTGCATTTCAATTGTTCTTCCAACACTTGAACTTGACCTTTCAACTTCAAATAACTAGCTTTCTAGTAGGGTGGGAGTTCAGGATCAAACCAAGCAAAAAATTTACAATAATCATCCTGTAATGTATAAAAAATTAGCATATTAAAAATCAATACAAAATGAAATGAAAATTCAAAATTCAGTATATGAAAACATATAGGTGCAGACCTCTATTTTTTTTCTGATTTCCAACATAAATCAGACTTAAATACAAGCTACAAACATAAAGCACACAAAAAGATTACTCAGACTTCACATACAAACAACAACATCCTCTTTTCTAATAATATTGTTCATCAGTAACAAGATCCTCAATCAATTTGTTGGGCATTTTATAAATTTAGACTTCACTTACCATTCGAAATTTGCACCGGTAGTACCTCCTAGCCGGATTCAGATCAGTATGAGAGGTAAGAAGATCGGGCTTTTCCCTATGTTTACATTCTAATTTCGGATTTGCTGAACTCGGGAATGTTGCTGTCGGGAACGTTGCTGCCGAACTTGTCTTCCTATATGACTGGAATCGGTCGACATGGAGTGGTCTTCTAAATTAAGCAATCGTCTTCTAGACTAAGCAATCGTCTTCTAGGGTTCTTCCTCATACCAGAGAGAATCGGGGAACGAAGATGATTTTAGGGTTACAAATTAAAAATTTATTGCAATTTTCCTATTTAAATCGACGGGTGATGTGCAAAATAACGTCGTTTGTGGATGACGTGGAAAATAAAATTTGAACTTATACACGTCCGACGAAACGACGTCGTTTCAGGGCTGAGATGGTAAAAAAAAAATTGATAAATACACATCAGCATGTGAGTTGGCAGCATATGAAAAGTATGTACCGTTTTGTAAATATTTGAAGGTTGTGATATCGTATGCAAAAGTTAAAAAGTCGTGATTATTTTACAATCTCGATAAATGTCGTGATATTATATGCAATTTTGCCTATTTTAAAATGTATATATATTATATATATTTTAAAATGTATAGTCGGTCAGTTTGACTAAACCGACAGAAATCGACCAAGAAATTCGGTCGATTAATGTTCGGTTAAATTGATAATTCTGTCACTTTTGATTTTTGGCATACTATGGTTCGGTTATTTCGGTTTTTCTAATTCGGTTGACCGACCGATGCACACCCTTATTGGAGATATTAGTTTGATTCAAATTTTTACTAATTTAACATTATTCCTACATGAATTAACGTTATAATCATTGATTGACGTATGTTAAAAATCATTGGCTTTCCAAACTATAGCATGATAGATGCTCTAACACGTCGAAAATGTTACCACCTTATGTATTTTGAACATCGCTCCCAACTTTAAATGCGAACGGCACAAATAAACAAACACTAATTTGAGTAAATCAATGTTGTGGTTTGTACCAAAAAAAAGTG